TTATACATTATAGATGTATATATACATCTGTATTTTCAGTATATAGACATCAATCTCTAAATTCTTCCAGGTGAAAAACTCTCACTCCAATCTACATTTCCCTTGTAATTTACCAAACATTTCAATCTCAGAATTTTAGCAGCTAAGGCAGCTGAAAATAAGGCATGGGTTACCCTACAAAGACAATAGTCTAGCTGGATGTTGGCGCTCATACCTGTCATCTCAGGGGGCCAAGATCTGAGGATTGTGGCTTGAAGCCAACTTAGGCAGAAACATCCATTACTCTTTAATTAATTAATTAATCAAACACAAAAAAGCCAGAAGTGAAGCTGTGGCTCCAGTGGTAGAGCACTAGTTGAGCAAAAGCAGCTCAGGGACAGTGCCCAGGCAGTGCCCAGGCCCTGAGTTCAAGTACCAGGACTGGTATTAAAAAAAAAAATCATTTAGGAATTTAAACATACTTTTACAGCTGGGAGCAAAGTCTCAATATTTCTCTATAAACACTGTTTATCTATTTCTCTATAAACACTAGGTGCTGGTGGCTTACACCTATAATCCCAACTACTCAGGACGCTGAGATTCAAGGATCATGTTCAAAGCCAGCTGGAGCAGGAAAGTCCTTAAGACTCTTATCTCCAATAAACTACTCAGAAAAATCTGGAAGTGGCACTGTGGCTCAAGTGGTAGAGTGCTAGCCTTGAGCATAGAGAGGCTCAGGAACAGAACCCAGGCCCTGAGTTCCAGCCCCAGGACCAGCAAAATAAACCCACTATGTAACATTAGGGTGAGCTCTAGGATGGAGGGGTAAAAATGTAACCAGCAGAATTTACCAGTTCAGAGCCCATTTGTCAGGAAAGGATCCCAGGAAGTCTTCACTTTAAACCTCCTGTGATGTGGTGATGTCACCAAGAGTACCCTCACTAGGACGCTGGCACCATACTGCTTGGGTCATCCAGAATTACAAATCAAATAACCCTAAAGTCACCAGCCTCAAGCATTGTGTTTAGCAACACAAGATACTAATATACCAGAAAGGGTCAAAGGCTAGTGCTCCAATATCATGCCCTTTTAGCTTCATTTTCTCTTCTCTTCTTGCTACTGAGCTGTAGGAGAAAAGCACCGTTTATCCCATGGAACAGAACTTTCTCTACTCACCTAAGTTCAGCAGGTACATTCGGTCAGTAGGCTTGAGGACAAATGTAAATTGAAATCCCACAAGCACACACAGTTCTCCTTAAACTACAAGCTTCTGTATGTTCTACAGATTGCTCCTCCAGGGCACACCGTATCCACAGTTGACATCATCCAACTTTTGAAGTGACAATTCACATGAGAAACCTGTCCCTGGAGAACTCAGAGTACAGCTTGCTCAGGACTTACTCAGGCCCCTGTGCCATCATTTCTGAGGGTTGCTCACTCAGAAGCTGGCTGAGGCTGACATAGAGCCTGGAATTTCGATTTCTAATTTTATACTTCTAATTAGTTTGGTCCTTTTTATTGTTGTTGTTGTTGTGGGGCTTGAACTCAAGTGTCTGGGAGCTGTCACTGAGCTCTTTCTTCAGCTCAAGGCTAGCACTCTACCACTTGAGCCACAGCACCACTTCCAGCTTTCTGGTGGTTTATTGGAGATAAGAGTCTCATGGACTTTTCCTGCCTGGGCTGGCTTTGAACTGTGATCCTCAGACCTCAGCCTCCCAAGTAACTAGGATTACAGGCACCCAGCTTGGTCCATTTTTTATAGTCCACTTTCAAATATAAAGATCTCATTCTTAATCTAATCATTCGGAAAATGGAGACTTTTTCACACAATGCACTTCAAGTCAAAGAAAAAACACAGCTTCAGTACCATGACTCAGGAGTAACTGGAAAATTGTTCCATCTCTCCACTTTGCTACTCTGTTCAGTTTCCCCACAAACGCCTCTAGCTCAGAAGACAAAGGCTTCTACCTTCTGACAGACACAGGTGGAATAGCTCTGGTGGGGAGGCTAGAACTGCAGTCAGGGGAACTGCACATGCTGGAAGCTAGTCTGGTCAGGAAACTCCATGAGACTTTTTTGTCAGTCATGGGGTCTAAACTCTTGGCCTGGGCACTGTCCCTGAACTCTTCAGCTCAAAGCTAGCACTCTACCACTTGAGCCACACCGCCACTTCTGGTTTTCTGGTGGTTAATGGAGATAAGAGTCCCACAGACTTTCCTGCCCAAGGTGGCTTTGAACCACGATCTTCAGATCTCAGCTACAGGCTACAGGCATGAGCCACTGGTGCCTGGTGCTCAATGTCATGAGACTATCTCCAATTAACCACCCAAAAGCCAGAAGTGGAATTCTGACTTTAGTAGAGCCCTAGCCTTCAGCAAGAAAGCTCAGGGACAGTGCCCAGGCTGAGTTCAAGTCCCAAGACCAGCACACACACACACACACACACGCTTGTTATAATACACACTCCTAGAGTTAAAATACATCAGAACACGTCAGTACTGATAAGATTCAACAAGTCAGTCACCTATTTTGCTTTCCATTACTGGTGCAACACAGTCACTATGTCAAACTTCCTTGCCAAGGATCCTGGCCCTAGACAAAGGCAGGTGACAACTGGGAAAGCTATCTAAATTTAACAGGGAACCATGAATAACACAATCCTTGACCACAGAAAATGCACAGTGATGATGGAAGTGGAGCTGCGGCTCAAGTAGTACAGTGACAGCCATGAGGAAAAAAGGTAAGGAAGTGTCCAGGCCTTGACTTCAGGCCCCAGTGCTGGCATCAAAAAAAAAAGAGGACACTTGATTAGGGGTAGTAGGACTCAGAGAAGCCTGAATAAGGACAAGGCTCCTGAAAACAGTAACAATTTCCAACTACCAAACACCCCAGAAACAGGCCAGAAGCAAGAAATGAGATGACTGATGCCAAGTTGAACCACTGGCAATGAATCTGTTATGTCCTCAAAAGAAAGGCCTGTGCTGCTCACTGGGGCCAAGGAGAGGCAGGGGAAAGTCAGATAAAACAGCTAACGGGACAAACGCCAAGAATTCAGAGGCCTTGGCAATCTGACTCAGTGTAAGATGAGAATTATGACCTCCCACATCGCAGTAAAAATATGTATTCCTCAGCTCTGTGGGTTCAACATGGGGCAGAAGAGGCCTGCACAGGCAGAAGCCGAGGGCACACAGGCAACTGTGGAGGCAGTCTCCTGTCTGAGTGGCTTGTGTGACCAGGCAGAAGACAAGAGATAGGATGGCCAAGCCAGCGGTGGACATGGAGAGGAAGAGGCCACCTCTACAGCACCTGCCAGAACAAGCTTGCCCAGGGCTGGGCTTTACCTAGCAAGCTCAAGGCTGTGTTTGCACAATGAGACGACGACACAGAGGTTTTCACAGCCAGCATGGGCAAAGGGTTTCTTTTTTTGTCAGTTGTGGGGCTTGAACTCTGGGCCTGGGTGGGCGCTGTCCCTCAGCTCTTCAGCTCAAGGCAAGCACTCTACCTCTTGAGCCACAGCGCCACTTCCAGTTTTCTGAGTGGTTAATGGAGATAAGTCTCACGGACCTTCCTGCCCCGGCTGGCTTTGAACCTTGATTCTCAGATCTCAGCCTCCTGAGTAGCTAGGATTACAGGCGTGAGCCACTGACACCTGGCAGGATGTCTCTTTTGTAACCAGCAAATTTGAAGAATTCATGTGTCCTTGTCCGTCCAGATAAAAAAGAAGTTGGTACTTTATTTTTATTTTTTTTAATAGCAGAACTTCAGACTAAGTATCAGACACACGCAAACACAAAATCACTGATTTCTGGTGCTGCTTCCCACACCTTTTCAAAGACTGGCAATGACCTATGCCTCAGAGAACTTTCCAGTTCAGCCCCATATACCAACTTGAAGTAGGAAGTGATGCTTGTCTTCTGGCTCTACCCACTTCCAAAGAGCCATGAAAGACAGGAAGCTCCACTGCAGGAGAGTTTAGCTGACTTAGAATAACAGCACTGTGGGCAGAATCTGGGGTATATTAATGCGATCTACACACTTGCTGTCATGCCAGCTCTGTTCTCTTCTTTTGCTGTTTTCCTTCTTCTTACAGTAGATGCTTTCTGTGTCTTCTGATCAGCAGCACTCTGGCTAGCAAGTGCTGCCCATGAATAGCAATGGATATACTGTTATGGAGTCCACACTGAAGAAATCTCAACTCTGAAGTTACTACTCAAAATACTTATTATTTCAAGGTAGGGACACAAATTACTCGGGTGGCCAGGGAATGCTTGGCTTTCCTTCTAAACCACAACTTAATGTGGATTTTGCTTCATGCTCTATCTGGTAACTCTTCTCTCCCACCCAATGTTGAGAACATCCCTTCCTCTATTTATCCGGGCCCCAAACTGGCTGGAGGAGGGAAGTCACCATATTCATGGCATGGATTTACTTCATGCTCAGGAAGCAATTGCCCCCCTAGGCCCAAACTTGATTAAAATCAACTATTTCTTTAAACACAATGCGGCTGACAGAGGCCTCACTCCCTGAAAGCAAGGACACAAGAGCTGGTCAAGTAGACAGCTGAGGAGCCCCAGTCACCAGACTCAGACAACAGGGAATGCAAAGGCTGAAATACCACCACCATCTTCAAAACCCATGCATCCTTGTATCTAATCAGAAAACTGGGGATGGGAGAACACTGGCCTATTACCCACCAACCAATTTTTCCTAAAAAGATGGGGAAAAAAAGGTATTTTATGAGTATGAAAAGCATTTCAAGACACTTGCTTTCAGGGCTGGACCACTTTTCAGTGGGTGTGCTCTCAAGTCTATCTCACAGACAAGGGCAGCCAGCTTCCACCAAGTACTGAGATGTGTTCTGCCCCAAATATTTTGTTCCCCAGAATTATATACTGTCTTCAAGTTCAACTGTATTATATATAATATCTGTTCCTTTGCTGTCAGCAAAACGGGAGCCATTTCTCTTGGATTCCAAAATGGGTAATACCAATGTAGAATGAAGGTAGATTTTTGGTTGGTGGTTTTATCATTATAACATAGATGAAATCAAAAGCTCTGCCACTGTCCTTCCAGTCACATCTTTCAAAGGTCCTTCCTCTTTTCACATGAATTCATCAGAATCATTGCCGTCCTATAGGAAATATAAAAATGAAACCATAAAAACCTGCAAAGTTTTAAATTTCCAGTTATGATCTTAACTGACAAGCCTCCTTCTCGCTACTAATCTCAGGGCTCAGGAAGCCAAAAGGAACAAGGCTAACCTCCCTGCGCGTCATCTCTGTCTCCTTTAATTCCCTGAAGCAGCTGGATCAGTAGAGCCAGCGTGTCTCTTTGTATCCCTGCCTGGCCTGCCTCACAGCACCAAGTCACCATGATTTCCACAGCACGAGGAAAGGCCCAGGTGGGCCGGGACAGGTCTAACAAAAGCGACTATCAGAAAACAAGATGCTGCAGAAGCACAACCTAATTATTCAGACAAATCCCTTACAGATCTTTTTTTAAGTGGGAAAAAAAAAAAAAGTATGTGAGACAATGGTCACATGGGTCTGCTTCGCTGCAGTAACTTTGCTCTCCATTCACATCCACATCAGGTAAACAGAAACAGGATACCTTCATACTAACTACACTGTGCTAACTACCACCTTGCACAATACTTGTGGCTTAATACTAGTTTATCGAGCCTCAAGGTTGTGTTAAGTTTGTTATTGCCCAAGACAATTTTGAGTTCTTTTCCTTTTTTTACTTAAGAAAATCTTATATGGTGGCATATACACAGCAAAGGGACCCATTCTATGATGTGGCTTATAACCAAATCCTTGAGAAGACGCTCCAGGCGTCTTCAGGCTCCTTTGCCAATGTTCACCACCATGCTGAGTCCTGGTACAGCGACTTGACAATGTTACAATCTGAGTACTGATGTGTGTTATCGCCTGTTTCTTGTTGCTTGACACCCACATTACCGACAGGGATAGGGCATAGGTTTGTACAAGCCCTTCTCTCCCTCAGTGTCCTTAGTTAGAGACGGGAGGAAAACTCCAGATATGGGTAAGAAACAGTGGCTCCATTGAATCTGGTTTTTATCTCTGGTGTTACTCCATGGCTCTCGCTGTGCTTCCTGTGCTTCACTGCGCCTCAGACAACTATACAACAAGCAGAGCTGCTGGCACAGATATCTGGACTATATTTCAAACATCAGCGTTGCACTGCAACCACTACAGGTGAACAACCCCAGAGTTAACACGGGGCTGGTGACACTTTAAAGAGAGTGCCTCACCCCACTTCTCATGTGCCTGAAAGCCAGTCTCAGGGATCACAGAAACTTAAATACCAATCAGAGATCCAAAACTTTATGTGAACCATCTTTGTATTTTAGATTCCTTTCACTTCGAGTCCATGTGCTTTTCAATTTAACAAATGGTTTTTTTTCCCACCTAGTGATAATTAGTATGCAAAAAGAACGTTAAAAATAATTGTTTATGGTTCCAATACCAAATTTACGAAGGTTAAAAAAGATTAGAAAATTGTTCTGCCAAAAATTCAAAATTAAAATCAACTTCAGGGTGAAACATTTAACTTCCTCCTGTTGAAACTGTATAAATTAAATTAAAATTCAAGTCTTATCTTAAACACCAGCCTTTAAATGAAAACAACTGGACACGTTGCCAAGTTAGACTACAAAAAGGTCTATGTCCTTTAACCAAAGATTCTGAGGGGAATTAAAGCCTTCCTTTTAAGAACAGAAAAGGCTGTAAGAGCCCTTCTTCTGATAATAAGTATTCCCAGGAGAAGTACTTTTGTACTGGTAAACTGGGACTTAAAAGCTGATTCAAACCTGGGGCTCTATTACACAGGGTAGCAAGCAACACAGAGGAGGGCACAAGGACTAGTCATCTTCTGGTGGAAAGATTTAATGTCAAAGTCCTGGAACTCTCAAAATTTGTCATTAATCACACAGTGTGTATGTATGTTCACATAAGGCCTTCCGTATCTGTGGGTTGCCTATCTGTAGATGCAACCAAATGCAAATGGTTTTTGTATGTGTGTCAGCCCTAGGGCTTGAACTTATGCCCTGGGTGCTGTCTCTGAGCTTTCTTTGCTCAAGGCTACTCTTTGCCACTTCATTTTTGGAGATTAATTGGAGGTAAGAGTCATATGGACTTTCCTGCCTGGCTTCAAATGGCAAACCTCAGATCTCAGCCTCGGAGTAGCCAGGACTAGAGTGAGTCACCAGTACCCAACTGAGAAATACTTAAAAAAATCATTTGAACATGCATGGATTTGTCATTATTCTCTAAGTAAAACAATTTAACATCTATTTACATAGCATTTATATTTAATTTAGGGTATTATTTAAAGAATATGGGAAAATATGCATAGGTAATAAACCACTTAAACAAGTACTTTACCACTTAAATAAGTACTTCAATTAAACAAGGGACTGGAGCACCTGCAGATTTTGGTATTTATGGAGGTCTTAGAACCAATGCTCAAATATGTCCAACTATAATGGTAATTCAATTATTAAAGTCTCTAGTGATTTATTTCACCACACATTAGAGTAAATGATGAGCATACCTGATTTGAAGACATATTCTCAACTTTCATTAGGGATGAATAGCTCCTAGAAGAAAATACTTAAAGTAAGTTTATCTAGTCAACAGCGTTTCATGAATGTTTACCACCCAGGATGAAGGATCATTATGAAAGTAACACACAAATTTACTTTAGTGTGGGCCCCATTTCCTCTGACCTCTACTCATTAATACAACTGCCTCTCTGACATCTTTTTTGATGTCTCAAAAGTATTTTCACCTTTTTTAGTCTCTATCTCATGTTGTAGTAGTTCCTACCTAAAGCAATTTGGTTCTTTTCCACTGTTCCCTGGCTCGACATCACTGACCGCTTTAAACCGGAAACCAATGGATTATTCTTAGTTCCTCCTCTTCAATCCCAAGTTACCCTGAAAGGAACCAGCCTACCCACATGATACCCTGACTTAGACAAGTGAACTCTGCTGAACAATAAATCTGTTGTTTTAAGCAACTAAATTAGTGATAATTTCTTATGGAAGCAGTAGAAAACTGAAATATCTTCATGGCCTTATTCAATGGTATTCAGAAACCAAACTATGTTTGAAATATTGTAGGGGAACAGAAGCCTCACATTATTCAGTCTTTTTTTTTTTTTTTTGTCGGTCGTGGGGCCTGAACTCTAGACTTGGGCGTTGTCCCTCAGTTCTTCAGCTCAAGGCCAGAACTCTACCACTTTCTGCTTATGTGGTGCTGAGGAATTGAACCCAGGGCCTCATGCATGCAAGGCAAGCACTCTACACTGAGCTACCTTCCCAGCCTTTATTTCAGTCTTTCAAAACAGAAAAAGAGCGGGATGTTGGTGGCTTACTGAAGCCTGTATCCTAGCTACTCAGGAGGCTGAGATCTGAGGTATAAGGTTCAAAGCCAGCCCAGGAAGAAAAGTCTGTGAAGACTCTTATCTCCAATTAACCACCAAAAAGCTGGAAGTGTTGGTATGGCTGAAGTGGTAGAGTGCCACTTGAGTGAAAAAGCCCTAAGTTCAAGCCCTAGTTCCAGTACCAAAAAAGGGGGAAAAAATTGTATGTGTGTGTATCTGGTTTTACAACAGCTTTGTCAATATTAGTATTGGTTTTCATAGCTAAAACAACTCATTCAAATTGTAGTCATTATTACATACATACTATAACATCTTTTCCTTTCTGAAGAACTTTACAAACTAAACTTTAAGAAAAACCTTTGGTGGTTGTTTTATTTCACATATTTGCATATCCTAAAAGGGGGATTCATCAGACCAGAACACTAATGTAAGTGCTTTTGTTGGGGAGTCAGTTGTGGGGCTTGAACTCTGGGCCTGGCCGCTCTCCCTCAGCTCTTCAGCTCAAGGCAAGTGCTCTACCACTTGAGCCACAGTGCCACTTCTGGTTTTCTGATGGATTATTGGAGATAAGAGTCTCATGGATTTTCCTGTCTGGGTAGGCTGTGAACCCTGATCCTCAGATCTCAGCCTCCTGAGTAGCTAGGATGATAACTATGAGCCACCGGTGCCTGGCATAGGTGCCTTTTTCAAGACTCATTTAAGGTTTTTCATCATATGTCCCTCCATCCAGGAACACATCATTCTTAAGGTAAATCCAGGATTGAGATGAGTAAGAACAATTCTCTGGACTGACACCAAGGCCAGAGCTCCAGCATACCTAAGTTCGTCCATTTCCCTCTTCTTCTTCATCTCTTCTTTCTCTCTCCTTTTCATTTCCTGAATCTGGGCTTTTTTTTCATTTCTCTCCTCACGGTCTCGGCCTTCTTTCTCTGCTGCCAGGTCTGGGAACCGCTCCGATTTAGTCTTTTCTAATCGGTTCAGAATCTCATTCACTTTCTTCTCTACTGTCACAATTTTTACCTTTGAGAGAGATTGGGGGGGGGGGGGGGGGAGGAGTACTGACTCTTATTTTTCTTTTTTCTCCCCCCAAAAGCCAAGGTTTTCAGCTCAGTTTAACTCTTAGGACACCCATGTCCTGTTCTGCCCTTACCACCTCCACCCCCATGGCAGACAGTACAGGTGTGGGTCCACTCTGCAGAGGAGCAAGTACTTACATCCTTCTGCCTGTGAAAGCCTATCTGCCCCACATCCATGTCAGCAGTTTTCTTCAAGTTAGACCATGGTGTGTATACCACGTTAACGTTGTTCATCTTGCAGCCTGCCAAGAGAGAGTGACTTGAACACGCAGGTAGGATAAGATGCAGCACTGAGCCCCCTCACCATCATCCTAGCTGGGAAGAGGCCTAGGAGGAACAAGCTTCCGCCACTTCAAATCACAGATTGTTGTCAAGCCACCACTGTGCTCCAGCACCAAACAGCAGAAAAGCAACAATAACAACAGGCCAAGAGTAGAACTGACATTCAACGTAAGACCAAGGACAGCATTAACTGGAAGCAGGGATGGGTCCACCATTAGCCTCAGGGACTTTTGAGAACAGTCCAAAATTGAACATAAATTCTTTATGTGTGATTTTTCCAAGAGAAAAGAACTATAAGTAAGTGTCCTGAGATTATCAACACAATCCTTGAGTTGAGCATGGGTAAGCAGCAATATAAAGCCCTAGCCTGGGGTTGTGAAGACTTGGACTGGACTTTGGCACCACCAGAATCCAGCAGTGCCACTCCGGTGAAGTCCCCATGACTCTCTGAATCGCATCTGAATGAAGAGCATACTGCAGCTCTTTAGCCAAAGAAATTATTAAAAGGTCATCACAGGGGGCATCAAGATGGCGACGGGGCAGTAGGGAACCGCCACAGCTCTCCCCAACCAAAAAGAGAGTTCGAGTTCCAATGCTTAATCTCTCTAAGAGACCGACAACAACAAAAAGACAAACACCCAGAGAAAAACAGGAGGTGGAAAATAACAAAAAAGAAAACTTTCAGAACAGAGAAGCGCGAAGACCCCTCCCCCAAACTTTATTGGTCGTGCAGCAGCGAGCCAAACCTTGGCCAGCTGGCCTGGCGGGGGCTGCCTGAGTCCCAGAGACACAACACAAGGGGCTGCCTGCAGATCACCCGCGCAGAAGCCGCCTGAGGTACTAGTCTGCAGACCCGCTGATCGCCATGAACAGAGAAACCTCTGAGCTGGGAGTCTGCACAAAGATCCCACCCCCACCTCTCACTCTCCATCTGAGCAGAGAGGCTCCATCCCACCAAAGCCACTCAACCCCATAGCGGGAACCCCAGAGCTACACAGGACACCAGCAACACCTGAGCAGAAGACCTGCAAGGAACTGGCGCGGATCCGGAGAGCACAAACAGAGACAAACCCCAGTGCTCAGAATCTGCACGGAGGCTGCCTGGAGTCCCAGAGACACATGGGGCTGTCTGCAGATCACCCGCGCAGAAGCTGCCTGAGGTACCGGTGTCAGACCGGCCGATTGCGACAAAAGGAGAAACCTCTGAGCCCGGAACTCGGCCCCACAATGGGAGCCCCAGAGCTACACGGGATGCCCACCAGAGAAGAAGACCTTCAAGGAACTGGTGCTGATCCGGAGAGCGCAGAGACAAACCCCAGCGCTCAGAACCTGCACGGAGGCCCCTCCCCCCACCCCTCGGGCCGAGGCTGGAGGCCCACCCCATGGTGTAGACCCGACAGCATCGACCTAGGCAGAGACAGAAGAGAATCACACAGAGCCACCACCGCCCAGCACAGCCCACAACCACCCCAACTGAACTCTGATTGCAACGGCAACTGACGACCTACATCACACAGAAAAAACTAGCTCCAGGATGAGTACCCCGCAGGGGACAGTGTATCCCTCAAGAGAGACCAGAGCTGGTGGGAATCCCCAGACCCTGACCCAGACTCCCTACCCCAACACCTGGACCATAGGACCCACTAAAATGGGAACTGTTCAAGAGCTCCACCAGCCCGCAGAGCACACTCCGCTGGCCAGGCTAGAGCAAGAGCGCCCCTGGAAGGGAGCTTAAACGCCCAAGCCAGGAACAGCACCCCTGGGTCAAGATACCCAACAGTAGAAGAAATTTGAATGGTGCAACCTAGGCTGCAAAACCTAGGCGGTATAAACAGTAGCACAGGCCCAATCGGCGTTCCCCAGGCAGGGGGCCCAGACCAGGCCTGGGGATCCAGTGCCTGAACAACACAACCAACTCCTCCCAACTGAAGTCAGAAGCTGAGCATACGCCTCAGCAGAGGGGAGAAAAACAGGGAATTGCACCCCCTGGGAAGCACGCCAGTGAGCCGGGGGCTCACGATAAGAGAAGCCCAAACCCCATCAGAACCCGACCCCTATATTATAGGCTGGGAGTTGGACAACACAGGCCACCAGCACCTGATAGTAGGCAGGAGCTCAGGCTGGTAAGGTGGCTCAGCAGTAGAGTGCTTGTCTTGGGTGCATGAGGCCCTGGATCTGATTCCTCAGCACCCATAAGCAGAAAGGGCCAGAAGTGGTGCTGTGGCTCAAATGGTAGGGTGCCAGCCTTGAGCTGAGGGACAGCGCCCAAGCCCAGAGTTCAAGCCCACAACCGGCCAAGAAAAACCCATCAGGAGCCCATAGCAGACTCCAGCATCTGGGAGAGTGTATCCAGCACATCCGATCTTGCCAAGAACACCTGTAGGAACAAACAGGAGCATTCTAGGCTGCTCAACCCTTCCAAAGGTGGGAACTGCCAGTGATCTACAGCAGAGAGCTGAGAACCCTATGTGGGTCAGACCAGCAGCCGGAGGTCGGCCCCCAACAGAAGTGAGATCAGGTACAGACTCTCTACCAATACAGAAACAGCAACCAAGCAAAGACAGACACCTATTGACCAAAACAAAATTTCAGATTAGTCTCCAATAATCCCTGAACCCCCATGCGAAAATCACAGAGAAAAATTACAAGGTTTATCAACACCCAGGATAGCAAGCTGTCCCCAATAGCCAGCAGCCACCCAGGGAAGAGCCCCAGTGAGAGCAAAGCAGGAATGGAAGACAAAAGCTACATCCAAGGGATGCTGGAGGCGATGACTCAAGAAATAAAGCGAGAAATAGACCAGAAATGGAAAGAACACAGGGACGAACTGTCGGAAGAGATGCAGGATCTCAAACACGAGGTACACGCAAAAATAGAGGCAGTATATACCTAAGAAGTGAGATAAATGCCAAAATAGAGGCAGTACATACCTCATTAAGAGGGGATATCAGTACTTTGAGAACCAACATCAAATCCATAAAAGAGTCCATTTCCCCCATGCAAACCACAATGGAAGCCACAGTTAACAGAGTGAATGAAATGGAATGTAGAGTGTCAGATACAGAAGACAGAATACACCAACTGGACCAAAAAATGACATGTGGAAAAATCACTTAAATTATGCCAAAGGGAAATTCAAGAGCAAGCAGATAGTGCCAAGAAATTTAACCTTCCTATAACTGGAGTGGACGAAGGTGAAGAATATCAAAAGGGAATGCAACACCTATTCAACAAGACAATCGGTGAAAATTGTCCCCATCTCAAAAAAGAACATCTTACCTACATAACAGAAGCATATAGAACACCTAACAAGCAAGATCCCAGGAGAAACACTTCTAGACACATTATAGTAAAAATGATAGATCTGAAAAATAAGGAAACAATCTTGCATGCAGCAAAAATGAAGAAGGACCTATACTGCAATGGGAAAAAAATTAGAATCATTGCAGATCTCTCCACACGAACACTGAATGCAAGAAAGGCCTGGGAAAGTACCATACGAACCCTGAGAGCCAATAACTGCCAACCCAGACTGATATACCCGGCAAAGCTAGCATTCACATTCAATGGAGAACTGAAAACTTTTAATAGCAAAGAAAAACTAAATGCATAAACATTAAGCCAGCATTACAAAGAATTCTAAGAGGGGGGACACAACCTGAAGAAAGCAACCAGTTACTGGGACCTGCACCCAGACAGGCATTAATAGAAGTCTAACTGAGCAAGCACAGGAGGAAAGGAAAGAAGAAAAACTGAGGAAAATGGAATGACAGGGACCACAATGCATCTTTCTATACTATCTCTTAATATTAACGGGCTTAATTCACCAATCAAAAGAAAAAGAACTGCAGATTGGATCAGAAAACATGACCCATCCATCTGTTGCCTTCAGGAGACCCACTTCTCAGCCAAAATACAAACAAAATCAGAGTAAAGGGTTGGAAAAGGATCTACCAATCAAATGCCCCCAGTAAGAAGGTGGGTGTAGTAATCCTGATATCTGACAAAATAAACTTTTCATTAAAATCAATACAAAAAGACAAGGATGGATACTACATATTAATACAGGGAACAATCCAAGAGGAGGATATTACCCTCATCAACTTATATTCCCTAAACATTGGTGCACCCAGATATGTTAAGCAAATACTCTCAAACTTACAGAAAAGAATAGATCCCAATACGATAATACTAGGAGACTTTAAAACCTCACTCTCACAAAGGGACAGGTCTAGAGGCTAGGAAGGTAGCTCAGTGATAGAGCGCTTGCCTTGCATGCCTGAGGCCCTGGGTTCGATTCCTCAGCACCACATAAGCAAAAAGGAAAAAGCCAGAAGTGGCCCTGTGGCTCAAGTCGTAGAGCGCTGTCCTTGAGCTGAAGAGCTGAGGGACAGTGCCCAGGCCCAGAGTTCAGGCCCCACGACTGGAACCCTCTCCCCCCCAAAAAAAGGACAGGTCTACCAACCAGAGGATTGGCAAAGAAACTACCGAATTAAGTGAGGCCATACTTCAAGCGGAATTAACTGACATCTACAGAGTATTTCACACTAAAACAATACAGTACACATTCTTCTCAGCAGCTCATGGAACTTTCTCCAAAATAGACCATATCAGTTTATGCAAGGAACTTAAGCAAATACAAGGGGATCCACATAATCCCCTGTATCCTATCTGACCACAGTGGAATCAAGCTAGTTCTCAATAACAAAGCATACCGCAGAAATTACTCTAATACATGGAAATTGAACAGCACACTTCTTAGCAATGCCTGGGTAATGGAAAAGATCAAAGAAGAAACAAAATATTTCCTACAGCTCCATGAAAATGAAAACCTCACAAAGAAACTTGTGGGACACAGCAAAAGCAGTCCTGAGGGGCAAATTTATTGTCCTCAGTGCCCACATCAAGAAAACAGAGACAGGGCTGGGAAGTTGGCTCAGTGGTAGAGCACTTGCCTTGC